AAGGAAAGGAATATTGTAAATAAAAGGAAGTCAGACCACAAAACCTGAGGAAAGAAGCTTGTATTGAAAGGGTAACAACTACTCGGTAAAGAGACTAACTTCTGGGCTCCTGAAAGCCTTTCCACTCTCCCAAGCCACACAAGTGCCATACTTACTGGTCTGGACTGAGTGGGGCGAGAGAAGCAGTATCTGATTGCATCCCAGCTGGCCTCAGAGGCACAGACCCTCCAAAGTGCCGTGGGCCAGGTGCAGAGACGCTGGTGAAGACTGCTGGGGGTCAGGGCAGGCCTGGGTTTTTTCAGCTGATTACTTCCACGTACTCCTAATTGAATACCACCAAAGAGGAAGAAAAATTCCACTTAAGCCTTATAATGCTCTCTTGGGTACCAGACACCTTAAAAGGCATGGTGGGAAGCATTCACTAGTGGGGGGAATCATTCCCTAGTGTCATGGTGGATACTTGTTGTTTGAGAAGCAAGGATTTCCACTTCCATTTGGCACCCCAGAGTTTAAAATCATAATGCCTATCCCCTTTGACTTTGGTCACCTCTGGGTTTCAGTTACCCCAGTGGAAGGAGCTTTTCATGTGGGGGTTGACAGGACTGGAGACCGCTAGGAGCAAAGCCTCAATGACATGAGGGCCCAGTGAATCCTGTGACTTTGGTCTGCTTCAAGTGGATTTTGAGAACAGTTTTCGGATCAGACCAGATGTTGTTCCCTAGAAAACAGTCCAGTTTGTATTGTGCCTCCCAGCCCCTCCCCACTATATCTCAGTATATTAACCCCACCTGGGTTTGGAGACCAGTTTGTCCAAGGATCTTTCAAGCCTGTGAGCCCAGAGTGGAACTTCAGAGGCAAGGCTCATTTCTTTTTGTGAGGAGCTTTGCTTGAGGCACTGAGAAGGCCTGTTTGGAACACTGGAACATTATCCTCTTGAGAGGAAGTGCCAGACTGAACATTAAAAACTTTGCTTCTATGCTCAACTGTTCATTCACCAGGAAGTCGCTTAACGTCCCAAACTTCTTTAAAATTCTGTAAAGTGGGATCAGTCTAATATACCTACCTCGAATGAGGGTAGAATGAACTCCATATGCAGCTATGAGAGTTGTAAAGATGCTATTCATTATAAAGATTTAAGCTACTTGTTATTTGTTTCTCTGAAAGTGTTAGAGTTGAGGTGCCATTACTTCCACCTGCGAGACCTCTACCCCCTCCAACTTCCAGCTAGAGGACTCCTCAGATAGATTCACATTCTTTATCACTAACAGAGCCTCAGCTCCAAATATCTTTTCTGGTCTGCCCTGATGTTCTGAACTGGAAAACTGAGAACCTCAAGAATCAGAAGAAACATTCCAAATTTCTACTCATTTCCCCTAAGACCCAGAGCAGAGCCAGGACCTAAAGAGATTGCACCGTATCTTTTAACCCTTTGTTCCATCCCACTCTTGTTTGAACCTCCCACTTTTGTTGTTCCAACTATTTCTTGAGGTGAAAGAAGAGGAAGAGAACTTTGATCCTCTTCACAGAAGTCTTTATTCTTTAGTCCAGGGTTGAATTTTTTGTTAACCTTTGCCTACTTGGGGTTAGAAGTGGGCCTTACTCTTACAGGATAAGCCCAGCATCATTCATTGTGCCTGTTGGATCCAGAATCCAGCCCTGTCGCACTGAATAACCATGTACTCTTGTGTCCTTTGGTGATTAAACCTGCTTCCTTGAGGGCTTGGTTCAAGTTCTACCGTCAGTGTCTTCTTGAACTGATAAATTCACTCAGGGCTTCCTTCTTTGAGCTCCAGTGGCACTTGTGGCCTGTTTCCCACAATTTGGTATGTGTTTTTTTGCGGTTTTGCAGTGTTTTCTTATTTTATGTGAGTCAGGTCACTGAACTGTCATGTAACCTCAAGGATAGGACCATGTTTGCTTTCTAGCCCTGTGTTGAGTGCCTTTCAGTCAGCACAGTGCTTCCTTACTTTCTTTTGCTGAGCCCTTCCTTGAAATAATGTCCGTGGTGTTGAGCCATGTGTTAGAAAGCCAGGTGGACTTGTGCCCTAACCTCTGCCTTTGGGAAGCCATCTTACTGCCTTGACTCAAACATTGTATCCTGAACCTGTGCCGCCACCCCAGTGTCACCTTGTGCCAAAGGTCTGAATACAAGCAAGAACTCTCAGAAGAGGGAGCCAGCATTTGAGCTCTTCTTCCAGCTGCCAGGACAGATGATTGTGCTGCCCAACAGGGTGGGCGGGGGAAGATGTGCCTGGACTAAAGTCTGAAAGGCGGAGGTCAGAGACGTAGGAGGAAACCAAGAGACAGTGGTGACAAAGTCACTACTATCTCGTCACAGAAACCAAGGAAAGCAACAGTTTAAAAAAGGGGGAGGTGAGTGGTATCAAATGGCTCAGGAGAGGTTTTCTGGGCTAAGGACCAAGATGAGTCCATGGGATCTAGCAGTTAGCAGAGGTCTTCCCTGACAACCCCATCTAAAACACCTCCACCCCGGGACTTCCCTGGTAGTCCAGTGGTTAAGAATCCACCTTCCAATGCAGGAGACGCGGGTTCAATCCCTGGTCGGGAAACTAATATCCCACATGCCGCGGGGCAACTAAGCCCGTGCACTGTGACTACTCAGCCCACGCGGTCTGGAGCCCACGGACCGCAACTAGAGAGAAGCCCGCGCACCACAACAAAAGATCCCACATGCCTCAGTGAAGATCCCGCGTGCCACAACTAAGACCTGATGCAGCCAAATTAAAAAAAAAAAAAACTATCTAAAAACAAAAACAAAAAAACCGTCTCCACCCCATCACTCTGCCACATCTTCTTTACTGTCTGCATACTGTCATTAGCTAAAATCATCCTGTTTATTTCTAGCATATATATATATATATATATATATATATATAAGAGAGAGAGAGAGAGAGAGAGAGAGAGAGAGAGAGAGAGAGAGGGAGAATACTCTGTGAAAACAGCAAATTTTGTCCTGTTCACGCTTGTATTCTCAGCTCCCAGAACAGTGCCTGACCATAAGATAGGAATAAATGTACAGACTTATCCAAAGTCACCAGCTAATAAGTGGGACAGCTTTGGTTTTTTAAGGAACAGAGCAATAAATATGCACACAGTTTGAATAATGATTTTAAAGATTTAAAATTTAATTTAAAAATTAACAAATTTAATTTATTTTAATTAAGTAAATTAAAGTTAATTTGTTTAAACTTTTATGATTATAGAAGGTTACCTCTTAGAA